TTTAGCATATTTAGTGAAAGTTTGGGGTGTATTTGCAATATTTCAAAGATAAAAACACAGATATCCAAATCGGCTTTGCCCTATTAAAAGCACCGTCGTCGTCACCTTCGTGTTCGATATTGGTATTCAGAGTAAATCTTCAGAGACGAAGAGAATCAGAGGAGAAGAGAATGGCTCACAGAATTCTGAGAGATCATGAAGCCGATGGATGGGAACGCTCCGATTTCCCAATCATCTGCGAGTCTTGTCTCGGTGACAATCCGTACGTCCGAATGGTGAGTTTCTCGCTTCCATCTCTCAAACAAGCTTGGATTTTCCTCTTGCTTGTTTTGTTTCAGTGTCTCATGAATTTTCTTTCCGGATCTCATCTCTTACTCAGCCTCTAGCTCGTTGATTGTTTTCTGTATATTGCAGTGGATAACTGAGTAGTTTTCGTATTAGGGTTTTGGTAGTTATCGAATTCGTCTGGTTTTTTTGGGTTTTGAGATGCTAACTCGTATAGTTATAGCTCGAATTGATTATAGCTGCAACTTTGATATTAATATCCGGATTAGTAACCATTCACTGATTTAGTGTTATCTGTTGGTATGTAGACGAAGGCGGATTATGATAAGGAATGCAAGATATGTACACGACCCTTCACGGTGTTTAGGTGGCGGCCTGGCCGGGATGCTAGATACAAGAAAACCGAAATTTGTCAGACTTGCTGCAAGCTGAAAAATGTATGCCAAGTCTGTCTTTTGGATCTTGAGTATGGTCTTCCAGTTCAGGTCAGGGACACGGCACTCAACATTAGTACTCATGACTCTATCCCAAAGAGTGATGTCAACAGAGAGTATTTTGCTGAAGAGCATGACCGAAAGGTATGACCAAAGTTCTTATTTTTTCTTCTCTTTAACTAAATGGGTATATATTGTTATCATTGATTTGTTTAAGATATTGCTTAGGTGATGTGACCATTGTGAAAGATTGGTGACTAATTCTAGTTTTCTCATGGTGGCTTATTGAAATGATTTTGATCTTTTTTGTTGTGTAGACTAGAGCTGGACTGGATTATGAATCTTCATTTGGGAAGATGCGTCCTAATGATACTATATTAAAGCTTCAAAGAACAACACCATACTATAAAAGGAACCGAGCACATGTTTGTAGTTTCTTCATCAGAGGTGAGTGTACAAGAGGTGATGAATGTCCATACCGACATGAGATGCCCGAAACAGGAGAGTTATCCCAGCAAAACATAAAAGACCGTTATTATGGGTAAGCTATTTTCTTCTGTATGCTTGACTTTATTGCCATTTAGTTGCCCTCTCAAATGCTTGTTTCATTATCTCCCCTAATGGAGTTCGTGAAATTTCATATGTTTCTGGTATGGTACTATTTTCTCCTTGATCAGTTCATATACTCGATTTTGGAAGCCACTGACATATATGAACATGATCTTCAATTCTTGGGCTGAACTATGCTATGTTGGTTCTCATGTAGTCTTGTTATTTATGGGTTTCTCCAATTTTTGTTCTCTTAATGTATTATTACTTCTGCATTTATGCATCTTAAACAGACGTTTTGAACCATTTGTAATCTTCTTTTACACATGTGCAGTGTTAATGATCCTGTTGCAATGAAGTTACTTGGAAAAGCTGGTGAGATGGGCACTTTGGAATCACCAGAGGATGAAAGCATCAAAACGCTTTATGTTGGTGGACTTAACTCTAGAGTCCTCGAGCAGGACATACGCGACCAATTCTACGCATTTGGAGAGATCGAATCTATCAGAATCTTGGCCGAGAAAGCCTGTGCGTTTGTCACATACACAAGCCGAGAAGGAGCAGAGAAGGCAGCGCAAGAGCTCTCCAACAGGCTAGTCGTCAATGGTCAGAGGCTAAAACTCACTTGGGGAAGACCTCAGGCTCCTAAACCTGATCAAGATGGTTTGAACCAACAGGGAAGTGTGGCTCATAGTGGTTTACTACCACGAGCCGTTATATCTCAGCAGCATAATCAACCCCCACCAATGCAGCAGTACTATATGCACCCACCACCACCTAACCAAGACAGACCTTATTACCCATCAATGGATCCTCAGAGAATGGGTGCAGTCATTTCATCCCAAGAGGCTGGTGGTTCAAGCAGCAGTGAGAACATCAGAGCTCCTTCTTCTACTTACATGATGCCTCCACACCAGCCATACCCACCACCACCATATGGATATATGCCATCGCCTTACCAGCAGCAGTATCCTCCTAACCATCATCATCATCCCGGACCTATGCACCACTATGCCCCGCCTCCGGCTGCTTATCCGTACCCACAACAACCTGGTCCTGGATCAAGACCTGCACCGGCTCCAAGCGCGGACTCCGCTCCATCACAACCTGACTCTACACCTGCTGGGTCTGGAGCACCTTCAGGATCCTCTCAACAACCTCCTACTGGTTCGTCTGAGTAGAAGCTTTAAATGTTTTTCCTTTATCCATGCTCGGAATATTTTTTTTTGTACTCTGAAGTGAATCATTTTCTGCTTCTTTAGTTTCACAACTTTGAAATGTATTGTTTCCCTAATCAGTTCTTAATGAAAGGTATACAGTTATGTTTATCATAATCGAACTTAAAAGAATATATAATTTGGGCCGTTATGAGAATTAAAAACATATATAAAAGCTGGGCCGGACACCAAAATTAAATATTAAATGAGTTTAAACAAATTCCATCACGTCCGACTCTCCCGAAGCTTCTTCTAATTCCTCCCTTCTTATATAAACAAAACATCTTTCCCCATTCTTACACGGAAACGTGAAATCCATTTGGAGTTGTGGAACGAACATCCATCCTCATCGGTGATCAATCATCGGCGTTAATAAGAGAGCTTTATTCCGATGTGAGTATTCTGTTCAATCTATTTGTTTCTTTTATTTACCGATTTAAAGCTTTTACGACGATTTACAGACTTGTTTTAAGTTTTGGAACGATCGTCTTTAGATGTTGTTAGATCTGATTGTTAACAGAACGTAGATAGATGCAATCATCTGTCATGTCATCGAGTATGATGAAGTTCTGATTCCTGTTTTCGTGGAAGTTGAAAGTATCGTTATTTCAGTGAAATTATTGGTGTTGTTTAGAACTCAAGGATAAGCAAATTGTGTATTAATTGTGATAGAATCGTGTACAAATTGGATTTGAGAGCTTTGCAATTAGTAAGTTCAAATTTGTTTATAGTGTTTTTCTCTTTTTTCTTTTAGATGTCTTACTACTCAAAGAGGTCAAGATACTCACCATCACTCTCCCCTTACGACAAGCGTCGTGGAAGGTCTATCTCAAGGTCCCTGTCTAGAAGCCGGTCGAGGTATTTTCCCTTTTCCTGGGTTTTGTATGATCATTGGTTTCTAATTGCTTGTTTTGAATGCGCTTAGATCTGACTGTTTTTCAACTGCTTGTATTGCATTAGGAGTGTCTCAAGTGATGCAGAGAATCCTGGTAACAGTTTATATGTAACTGGATTGTCTCACCGGGTAACCGAAAGAGATCTGGAGGATCATTTCTCAAAACAAGGAAAGGTTGGATCCTATATTAAATTTCGAAAAAAAAACAAATTTATCTCTTGTAGAAGCGGAATTTGTTTGTTCAATGTTTTAACAAATGTGAGCTTTGATATATTCAGGTAACTGATGTTCACCTTGTCCTTGATCCATGGACTAGAGAATCTCGCGGATTTGGTTTTATCTCGATGGAAACTGTTGGCGATGCTAACCGCTGTATCAGATATTTAGATCACTCTGTTCTGCAGGGCCGGGTCATTACAGTGGAGAAGGTAAAATTACTTATTCCTAATTACCCCCTGGTCAATTTCCGGTAGTACTAGAAATGAATGCAATCTGGCCAAAGCTGATATATGCAAGTAATGGGATATTGGTTTTTCTGTTCTTTTGATTTAAAGTTGTTTGCTTGTTTCCACTTTCAAGTTTTTTGTGGCAGCAGGTCTGCTGTTTTTAGCAGCAGCACTTCACCAAATAGCAAACGTTGCAACAAATCAAACACATCAAGTTTCAGACTTTTAGGGTTGTATGCCCTGCTTTCCTCTCTTCTTCAACATTCTAATATACCGCTCTTAATTAGTAGTTGCGATGTTTTTTCTGTCGTGTTCCCGTTTTTACAAGTACTTTCGTAGTTCATTGATGGATTTCTGACAGTTCTATGATTCTCTGTTCAGGCAAGACGTCGTAGAGGACGTCCACCAACTCCGGGAAAGTACTTGGGGCTGAGAGCTGCTCGAGGTATGACATCAGTGGCATTGGTTTTGTTTCAATTCCTTTGCGGGTGTTTTCAGATTTCTTTACGTGATTTCGTTTTTTCCTTTTGCAGGCCGCCATAGGTCTCCTAGCTACTCTCCCCGCAGGTCTATTAGCTGCTCTCGTAGTCGCAGTCGAAGCTACTCATCCGATCGAAGCAGATCATATTCTCCAAGCTATCGGAGGAGAAGATCACCATCCCACTCGCCTTATTACAGGCGAGGCAGATCGTACTCTCATTCCAGATCTCCATCACCTGATGATCGTTACTACGGGAGGCGCGACAGATCCTACTCACCTTACTATAGGCGGCGTGACAGGTCCCGGTCAAGGTCCTACTCGCCTTACTACAGAGCACGGGACAGATCATACTCTCCTTACTACAGGCGACGGTACAGAGACCGGTCACCTTACTACCGAGGGAGAGACAGATCCTACTCCCCTAGAAGGTATAGCGGGTTAATATCTAAACAGATTAGTTGAAACTTAACATAGTAGAAACTGAAAATACAAATGAAAGCAGGTACAGGTCGGTATCTAGAAGCGAGAGCCCTGTGAGTAGAAGCAAATCACGGAGCATATCCCCTGAGAAGAGAAGGAAAGAGAGCAGAAGCAAGTCTCGGAGGCGCGATAGTCAATCTTCGATGAGCCATTCGAGGAGCGCAAGATCAAGCACGTCCAGATCCGTTAGCCCATAATAGTCCTCTGTTTCTACGTTTTGCCTATTGTTAACGTCAATCACTCACGTGTGTTGTAGTAATAATTTGGGACTTCTTCATTTCTTGTATTTGGGAATTGGTGACTGAACGGTGTCCATATGTTAAAATGCTTATTGTCAGTACTATGGCGACGTTGCTTAGGCAAATTGAATGAGTTACTAATATCATCTCAAAATCACCAAGAGTTCGACGTTATTAAAAGAAATGAGAAATGAAGTTTAGTAGGAAATTTATATGAAGTTTTGGTATTTATGAAGCAAAACTTGTTTGTCATATTTCAAGGCAAATGTCTAGTTGTTTCTTAATCATATAAACAACATTATCTACCGTGACCAAATAAAAAAAAAACAATAATTACCCGCTATATCTTTTGTTACATTTATTTAAAAAAGTAATTTTTTGAATAGTGGTTTAGTCATTTACCTAAATATGTGGGAAAGCTTTGCTAGAGAGTGCAAATTGTCTAATTTTAGTAGTTAAGAAGCAAATATATAACTGAACAATTAAAATCGATATGAATTTTTTTTTTCTAGTTATACATTGAAAAGAGAAGAATAGATTAGTGAGATATTGGTTTTTTGGCTAAAAAAAGTGAGATATTGTTAAGTGTTAACAACTTAATTTTATTATTTACGATTTGTTGCACTTTATTAGGTAGATATATTCAAATTCCCTTGTTACCAATTCAAGTTGATAACGAAAACCTTGTTACCAATTCAATTCCCAAAACTATAATTCTGCATATTACACGAAATTTCAAAAAAAAAAAACGAAAACCTTTTGTTTAAAATTAGAAACTCTAACAAGTTACTTAACGAGAACAAAAAAAAAAGAAAAGAACAAGTTATTTAACCAATGAACATATCCAACTGAATGTAAAACAACTCGAACTTAAAAAAAGAAAGCCTAGCTAGATAGTTTTGGAAATTGTTCAAATTATTAATAAACTATAACAAGAAAACTCAAGCCTGCTTGAAATATTTCTTCCAATACCAGTGCTTCTTCCAACGCCGTTCAGCCATGTCCTCAATGGGAACACCTTTGGTCTCAGGGAGAAAGAAGAAGGCAAATAGTCCCATGATAATGTTCATTACTCCGAAGAAGAAGAACAAGATTGATCTGAATCTGCAGAGAGCTGTCAAGAAGAACTGTCCTATGATGAAAGTGCAGACCATGTTCATCGCCACCGCGCAGAAGTAACCTGCACTTCTCACTTCAAGAGGATAAATCTCAGACGGAACAAGCCATCCCAATGGTCCCCAAGACCACGCGAATCCAGATACATAGACGCATATGAGGACCAGTACAGCAAGCGGCACGGTATGGCCGGTGATTGGTCCGACTAGCTTCAAGTTAACCGCGAGCAAGGTTCCAATAGAAATCTGCGCAAGTATATCGAAAGAAGAGTTAACTTGTTATACAAGTAAACAAAAATAGTTAACTTGTGAATCAAGAAATACTAGGTTTGTTTCTTTTACCTGCGTAGCCATCATCTGAGTGGCTCCTTCAATCAAAAAGAATCTCCTACCGAACATATCAACAAAGCCAATGGCTACAAGTGTAGCGACTGCGTTCACACTGTTAGTGACAATGGTAGAGATCAGAGAAGCGTTGTTACCGCTACCCATAGTCTGGAACAAGACTGGAGCGTAGAACATAACAACGTTGATTCCAGTGAACTGTTGGAAGAACTGAAGCAACGTTCCGCATATCAATGGCGGTTTGTTCTCGCTGTTAAATAAGAGTTCTATGAAAGGGCTTTTCACTTTATTTGAAACCTCTGTCGCACGTTTGATCTCGTCGAACTCGAGTTCAATGTTCTCAACGCCTCTGATCTTCTTTAGTACCTCCTTCCCTTTGTCGTCTTTACCGCGTTCGATGAGACTAGCTGGAGTCTCGTGGATGAAGATAGATCCTATCAAGAGGATTAAAGCAGGAACAGCTGCACCACCAAGAGAATATCTCCATCCGTTTTTCATGGTGGAAGTTAAGTAGTTTACATAACTTGCTCCTAATATTCCAACGGTGATGAGAAGCTGGAACGTGATGTTTAGTCCTCCTCTGTATCTAGCCGGTGCAATCTCTGAGATGAACAATGGAACGGTCTGCAAATATATTGGTTTCAAATGTCAGAAACAAAACAAAATCACTAGAGATCAGACCAAACACATACGAAAACTACACTAAGCCAATAAGTTAAGGCTTAAAAAAAGAGCAAACCCATATGAAACAAAACACTAGAGATCAGACCACAACATAAGAAAACTACACAAACTCAATGAGTCAAGGGCATAAAAAACAGAGCAGATCCGTACGAAAACAGAGGAACCCTAGATGAAAATAGAGCAGATCTTTATGAAAAAAACAGAGAAACTCTAAATGAAATGAACCGGAGGAAATCACAGATAGAAAGTTTGAGAATGTTGACCTGAT